TGATCGGGATCAACGCTGCCTTCTGTTTAAGCTTTAAGTCCGACCACCTAACCAAATGTCTACAAGAAAAAAAATTATTAAAAATCAACGCGATTCTTTAGCAACATAAAACTTGCACATTATTGCCCTAGAATTTGATGGGCTATCAAACTGCATACTCAAAAAAAATCTAGAAGATCTGAATGAAAAGTTGAAAATCTACCTGAAACTTTGCAGTTTTTTATAATTTTTGCACAAAATTTGAAATGTGGATTTATATTGTGTTTATTATATAATGAGCTAGGATTCTATGGAAAAATAATAAACATTGAATAAACAAAAGAAAAACATCCAAAATCCATCAAAATGTTGATGACTTAATCTGTTGATCACAAGTGTACATACATATGTACGTAAGGTATATATATTTAAATGTCATTTCGACAGAGCACATTTAAAATTAATTAGAATCGAATTTATTAGAATTGCTCAATTTGGTGAATACCACTATTGTAAACTGGTTTGAGATCGTTAATATTTTTATTTATTTATTTTTTACAGTCTGTTAGACTTATATTACAACAAAGACTTAACATTCTTATAATTAGATTTAGATTTAAAATTTAAATATTAAATACTAGATCGCCCTCACCCGCTTCGCTGAGTGTATGAAATTTCAAAGTACTACATGGAGTAAAATTTATTTCAAGAAAACCCAATTAAAAAACAGGAGGTTTAAAATTTTGTTTAACCATCTTCAAAATTTTTTCAAACTAAAACTTTCTTAAAGCTTGATTCGGAGACACCAGGGTTGAGTTGTGCAGGGGTAAATCTCGAATCGCCACCGATAAATCAACTGCCAGAACCATTGCGCGCCCTTTACTGTAATATTTAATTTAAAGTAATTGAATTTAATTTTTGAAAAGGTAAATATTATTCAAAACTTTCGAACTAAAGGTTTCTTAACAATATTTCGTTAGACAATCATATTTTAATTCTTCAGATAGCTTGCATATAATTAATCTAAATTTGACTTTTCAACATATATTCGAGATACAGCTTTTGTAAACCTCTTGACATCAATTTTTTAATATAATTTTCAAATAAATAACTCCCTTAATTGAAGTTGAATTTTGATTATTTTAAAAGGTGGCAGCCCTCATCCATGAGTAGATAATGATTTTATATATCTCCATACCAAGTTCCAGTACTCTATCAAAAATATTGCCTCAGAAATGCAATATGTTTTATTCCGTTTGTATGGGAGGTGCCACGCCCCCTTGTCTAATCGAGATTAAATTTATCCTATATTTTAAGTTGGGCTAAATGACAGCAGTGTACAAAATTTCATGATAACCGGTTTAGTGGTTAAAGCGTGAAAGCGTAGCAAACACACAAACTCACTTTCGGATTTATAATATTAGTAAGGATTAAATACAAACTGCTCTACGGAAATTTTTAAATAACATTATTTCTTTATCACTGCAATTATTTTATGTCAATATAAAAGCATGCAATTTTCTGGAAGTTATATAGACGTTTGGAAAGGCCGAGTTTCCAATCCGCGCTATACTTTTTGGGTTAATCCGTTGTCGAATTTATTTGTATTAAAAAAATTTGTAATGCAGTCAGAAAAAAAATTATTAAAACTCAACGCGATTTTTTAGCAACTTAAGACTTGCACATTATTGCCCTAGAATTTAATGGGCTATTATACTGCATACTCAATTCTAAAAAATCTGAATAAAAAGTTGGAAATTTAGCTGACACTTTGCAGATTAACCATTAAAATTAAATAAACGAAAGCAAAATAGCCAAAATTGATCAAAATGTTGCTGGCTTAATTAGCTGCAATAAAAGTTTGATAAGAACAATTCTGTGTGCATACATTTAGAAAGGACGTTTTTGGGTAGGAAATGACGTTTTTCAGACCAAGAGGGACGTTTTCTCATGCTGAAGACCTGGCAACACTGCTCCCAAGACACAAATCATTTCTTTGAATAAAAAGAGTATCAAAATTCGAAACACTTACTCATGGCATTTGTTTTAAAGTAGTCTTTCAATTAGTTGATTTAAAAAAAAAATCACTTGCTTCTGTCAGGGTAAAGACAAACCCTACATATGACAGCGTGAGCTGTGAGCTAATTGAAAGCAATACACTAGGGATATTTTCGAAGTGTTGCATATCCCTTGCGCTGTGCACGAATTGCACAGCTTTGCAAACTATCCAATCCGGGCACCGTGCAAGGTTAGTAGCCATTTCTAGATTTTGGGTAACTGAATTTTTAAAAATGGAAACTTATATTTGAATTTAAAAAAAATAAGGTAAATAGCAAAATCGGCTAAAAATGTAATTTTTTTGTAAAACGGCTAACAAATCGGATGGCGGCTAAGCGGAATTTTCTCCGGATGTTTACTATTGCAACCGGCTAAATTTCTGCACCGTTCGTTCGTTTTTCGAAAATGAGATGTCAAATGAAAGAGCTTGGGCTGTAGATGCTAGGACTAAGCGTTTGTTTTTGGCAATTTATGTCTGACAATTTTTTTATAAGAAAAAAATGCGGAGCACCGTCAGCAAAAAAAATCTAAAAATCTTGACATTTTGGTCAAACTTTTCAGAATTTTCATTATCTTTGCACAAAGTCTGAAATTTGCATTTATATCGTGTTTGTTAAGTTATCAACAGGGCCGAAAAGTTTAAGCTTTTGCTTGGAATTGCTTATTTTGCTTATTCAGGGGTTTCAAGCCTAATTTTAATGATACAGCTTAGTTTGCATATTTCAATGTAGAGGGCTAAGTACGGACCTTTTATGAAATAAATTGCTATTATTTCGTGCGTGTGAATAGTAGTGTCCAAGGAGTTTTTACATCTGATATTTTATCATGATTCAAAAATACAAGGTTCGATAAACTGACAGTTGTCTCTCTCGCACCGCTCCCTTAGCAGTGACACCGTGTTGCTTCTTTGCAAATTTACATGGAAACAGTGTAGCTTTGGTGTGAAATAGAAGTATAAGCTTTTGTGCAATATGTTTATTTGTATATGCATATGAAGCATATTTAACTGATGAAAACATAAACTGTTTTTAAATAGGATGTTTACATCAATCTCATAGTAGTCTTATTTTAATTTTGAGTCATTTTGCAGTTTTTATACAGCTAAATAGCACATAAATTACGTAATTCACGTAGATATATCAATATTACGTTCAACATTTGGTTTAAAATGCCAGATTTCCTGCAAATACATTAGAATTTACAAAAGGAATTTAACTACTAATTGCCTACTTTGCGTACTTTTCTACTACCATTTTCGCATCAAGAAAGCTTGATTCTTACCCTTTCTCGGTCCTTCGTAAATGCAACCTTTTGTAAGGAAGTGTCAAACCGCAGCTGTCAATAATTATCTAACCTTGTATTATTGAATCATGATATTTTATATCGTAGTGTCTCACTTTTTCATTACGAAATATTGAACGGGCAAACAAGGATGCCTTGTACTCTTCACAAACAAACTTTAAAAAACCGTTAAGAAAAAAATTAAAACGATCAGCGCAGATCTCTATTATTTGAGAATATTAAGCAACACTTTTATGTTTGTTGCAATTTTTCAATCCTTGAAATAAAGTAAATAAAAAACCAAAACATTAAACTCTACCTAATTTTTGTTGTTTTGCGAGCATATTTACCAATGTTTTAGTGCATATCTAAGCGCTTAAAATGCATTTTTTTGCTTATTTTCTTCGGCCCTGGTAATCAACTATACTTTCATAAAAATTACAATTATTTTGTGTGCTTCCAAAATCTTCGCTCTAGTAACTATTCTAAATGTGCATTTTTTACTATTCATGGACTATTAGAATATACATACATTCTATTAATATAATCCAAAAGGTTATTCACTAATAAATTGCTACTTTATTAGTAGAAACCTTTGGTACCAAAATACCATCTACAATATGATATTAATTGATACAATATTGACATTCTAAAACCATTTGGAAATTTGGACAGATTTTAAATAGCAATTTCCAAAATTGTTTCACATAGCTTAGCAACATAGTGAAATAATATAAAATATGCCAGCTTATTTCAATGCAAAATTTGAGTCTCGTCATTTTCGCTTTTTTCAATACTGGCATTAACCCTTGGTTTTGTTGCATACCTCTGCCCGATTTCGGCTTATCGTAATATCCGTTCACGGATGTAAAACCATAAGAAAGAAAATTACGTGATACGTCAGTCGAATAAGCTGAATGGGATAAGAGTACATTTACGTACATATGTCATAATCCGAAAAATTTGTTTTTACTTGACGAGTAATACGATATCGTATGTGTCGATTCGAGCCCAGTATTGCAACGTTATCGTGCTTTAGCACAAGCGGCAAGAATTATTTATTTATTTAATTTTTTACTCAAATCAAAAAACTTCATAATTTTTCACACAAAAGGGTTAACATGAAAGTCATATGAAGGAAAAAAGTATAATTACAAATTGCCAAATACATAAAACATTTCACTGTGAGTTATTACTTAAACACTTATTAAAGTTGCGATTCTTTCATTTTCTTGTTGTTTATTTTTAATTGAAAGAAACTGTTGATATTTTCATTCGATGCATCGAAAATATCGATATTTTTATAAGATACATAGATATGCATCGATGTTATATTTCGTTGCATCAAATCGAAAAAAGCATCGATGTATTTTTTGACTTGCATCCCTAGGAACGTATACTTAATATTTTTGACATGTGCTCACGATTTAATAAAAAAAAAAATTCTCACAAAAAAATCGAAGTTTGTGAGAATAGCCCATATACTATGCTTTGAACGGGAGAAAAAATAGTTTGGAAAAAAATATAAGTATTTTATTAAAAATTCGGCTGCTAATTCGTCCCTCGCTTTACAATGGCCATGGAATCACCCATAAATTGTTTTAGGTCAATAAGTTCGTAGTTCAGTATAGATAATATAAATACACATACAGATATGCGTACCTATTTTTTATTTTTCTTACCTTGACATTATAAAATCACAAATGCCACTTAGTGTTAGCTTTTTATGCGGCGATTGTAGGATGGCCATTGTGATGAGGGCAATGTAGGAGTACGGCGGTTTCACAAGCGGTGTGCTGTTGTCGTTGGTACTACTGTTGCTGCCGCCACTGTTGGAGCCAGATTTCTCTTCTGTCAAATTAGCTACAGAGGCTATAGCTAACGGAGGCGAAATTGAGTGCGTATTGAGGGCGGGTCTTAACTTCTGACGGGGCGGAGACAATTGCAATGGAGTGTGATGGGCGTTGCTGCAAGCAATTGTAGAATCCGCTGAGGTATGCATGCCCGCTGCCGCGTTTGTACAGCGGAGAAGTGGAAGGAGGCGAATCAAATGAAGTTGATTTTTTTCGTTATTAACCTCTAATTTAGGTAAAGCAATATCCGCTGTTTGCTTTACTTAAATACAAAAAAAAAATTTGTTTTATTTTTCTTATTTAAAATTAAAGCTCTTTTTAGTATTGAAGCGTGGTGGCATTTTTTCATATTTTTGAATTTAATATTCTTGATTTCACTTACATCACTTTCATCTTTGTATTACATCACAATTCCTGCTATACTAAGGTCTGCAGTACAGAATTAGATTAAGTCGGACTACTTGTGAATGTTTTGTATTTATTGTTTTTGTAGGAACTAGTTTCTTCAGAAATTAAAACGCTTTCCATCACTTAAGTTGATTCTCGTTTATAAATCTCATTATATTTTAATTGAGTTATATATTTTTTTAAATGTTACTCAACGAAGGACGAATTAGTTTAATTTCCGTTTCAGTATTGCGAAAGCTTTCGATTTGTGTCTAGTACATATATGTATGTATATGTATACATGTACATATATCCTTTTATCTGTTTTTGAGTTCGGCACAAACTGCTTGTGTAACCGTCGCAAAATTGTATTTGAACGCGCAAGCTCTAAAAATTAAATGTGTCCGCTTCTTGTCTGATTTAACGCGAATCCTTTTAGCAAATGTTAGCTGATCTGCAATGAAAACGAAATTTTCTCGCTAGAAACTTTTTTCCTGGCCTCTTCTGCTGTTTTTGCTTCTCGCTTTACATAACCAAACATTTATTTATCACAAAACCACTGCTGTATCTATCAGCTTTTGTCAACGTTCCGATGTTTATGTAGCTCGAATAATTCTGATTCCGTTTGGCCACCCGGCTTTGCCAGTGCCTCCTCCTCATTCTCATCTATCCATATCCTTCCCCTTAACCAGCTGCTATGCCGTTGCCATTGTTACCACAGAGGAAGAGTACCTATCGTCCTTCGTACGGGAGTGAAAGAGCAAGAGCTTTGCAGGATGTATGCGTGAGCATGTCGGGAAACTTGCAAGCGACAGCGGCTTGACAGCAGGAGTGGTGAGGTGAACAAAGAACTTCACCCGAATAGGATGTGGCATACACAATCATTTACACGAAATTATTCACACACACACACAGGCTCACAGGAGACCGAGTGGCAGAAGGGATGAAGGCTGAGATTGGGATGTAAACAAATATTTTGAAGATGTGCTCGGTATGGACTCAGCAAAGTAGATATAATCTCCACAAAAAAGGGAAAGGGCAACAGCGTACTGCGCCGAGTCAGACACAAAACATATCTGGCTATGCATTCACATACCTTTATACATGCATATGTAGTTGGATGTGGTTGGGTGTAAAAACAGTCGAATATTAGAAAATGGTGGCACGCCAAAAAGTAGATGTCCGCTTTGGTATTTGTTCGTTTATGAGAACGAGAAATTTGTTATGTTTCCCTATTGTATGTTGTTTCAATAATGGGGTGATCTGATGAGATTCGCCAAATGGGAGAGATATTGGTTTCGTCGTTTGGTTCGTTGGTGTGATGATGTTGTACAATGTAAATATGTACATACATATATACTTACATATGTAAGTACGCGCGTACGTAAGCGCACAGCAAACAAAATTGGTATACAGTATGCGAAATACCTTTGAAGTTTGACGTGTTTTTCACTTAATCATTTTTCATTATGTCGAACATTTCAAATACCAGTCTATGCACATATTGCGAGTTTATATATGTGTACGTTCATACACCCTGTAGGGAAACCCCGAACTGGTGAACCAAATGTGTAGTTCCGTACTAGATCTTTATCGCCAAAAACGAACCAGTCCGATAGTAACTGGATCGCCACCAGTTAAAAAGCTGCGATATGTGGTACTTTTAAAAAACAATTTTAGAAATCTATATCTAAAATGACGAATTTAGAACTGGTTCAAAACTATAGAAAAAGGGATGCAGAACGAACTAGATCTCATCTGGCAAATTTTGAACTGGTTCGAAACTACTGAAAAAGGGATGCAGCGGGGGGCTTGTTTACTTTAAATAGATTTTTGCTTGGCGGGTTTTTCGTTCAAATACGTTTTCAGTCTGCACGTCGCAGATGCTTTTTCATAGTTTGGTAATACAAAACTAATATTTTTGTAAACATCTTAACATTTTGTGACCTTCTGGAATATAACCAATACAGTCAGCACCTCTGCAAATTCAGCTACAGCCAAAGGTATGTAAACGTGTTTTCAAATGCACAATTTAATTTACATTCATTCAATTTGATTTCTGATTGAAAATACATTTCTCTGCAAATAATTAAAAATTACTACCATGGTAACCCAAAAAGAAAACATCTTGTTACTTTTTTCGTTTACAACTGGTTCGAAACTATAAAAAATGGGGTGCAAAGCGAACTAGATCCCATATGTCGAATTTAGGACTGGTTCTGAACTATAGAAAAGGTAATACAGCGGGGGACAATTTCCAATTCCTATGACATCGCCGTGTTAAATTCGCCAGTTGTTTGCATGCAAAAGAGATTTATCGCAAACTAGTAGTGGTTCTAAATGTACTAGAAGCGCACCAGTTCAAAACTAGAGATTTTCCCCTCAGGGCATGCATTAATATGTACATATATGTACATATGTACCCAGTGCGAAAATGTACCCTTCAAGACATTGCTGAGCACTTTAGACAAAAATTCTAACACATTTACACTTTTGTTTTTGTAGTATGGCATAAATGAGTAGTTTGACTATTAGTATTGAGGACTTTCTGATGAAAACAGTGAGGGGAAAGTACTAAATTTTTTTCCATGGCCTGAACGAAAATGAGGACTTTGATAAGCAATTTTGTAATTAGTGATAATGATAATATGAGCACTCATATGGTACTCAGCTGTCTTGCAGGGTAATGTATGGTAATCGAAAAAATAATCAGCCGGTGTAATTTTGCATTTTTTCCCACGACAATGCCCTAAAAATAGCCGGATGGTACCGTGCGCAGAAGCCCACAGAAGTGGGAAAAGCTCTTGACTGCCACTCACCTGGTAGTAGCCAGAAGTGATTCTTGTGCGTACGGTTAAAATCGCAACTCACAACGTCCGCATATTTGCAGGGCCGTCGAGAGAAAACCAGAACTAAAAAATCACCGATCCTATATATAAGTTGTATTAATTTAAAAAATATGGCTTAAGTCGCCGAAAACGAAGCAAAGGGAAACATTTTTTCCCCGGTTTTCGCAGATTTTTGATTATATCCGGGTCATACCTATTCTGTTTACGGGTATTCTGAGGTATGAGACAATATAAATATAAACACGAATCTCTTTCCCTCAAACACGAAAATTCACTTAATCCTGGGACCCCTTTAAATTAACGAAAAATGAAAAGGCACAATTTGAAATGTAGGCTGGTTATATTTAAGGACCACCCTTTTTTACACTATACTTGCTTCTCTTCGCTTTCCTTGTATTACTTTGAAGTTAATAAAAAAAGTATTCGACAAAGTACCTAATCATAGATTAATATTCTAAATGAAAATAAAGTCGGCAGCATTTTTTAATGTAATGTAACAGTCCAAAATATCAAAAGGTTTTTTGGTTTGGTATTTTTGGAAAAATATGGTTTTCTTCGAGCATTTTCGGCCTTCTTTCACAATAAAATAAAGCGGTTTCCTATACCCTTCATTATCGGCAAATGTAATGAATGAGAAGCGAAGAGATATTTGATAGCCTATACTGGCTATCGCTTCCAGAATGCGTTATTGCTAACACGGAAAATAATGTGTCGCGTGTCGATTTATAAATCTATAAATAGAAAAAAACAGAAGAAGAAGATTCCGTGCGCCAAAGTTTGAACTCGCGACCAACAAGTCGTTAGTCGAACACGCAAGCAATCGGCTACAGCGGCTGTTGAGATAATTTGAAAGAAAGGTAGGGGCAGGGGGGTGCTCGAGCCGCCCCCCCCTAACTTTCAAATTTTCTTTATATATATATAAAATAGTGCCCTAAAATGCCAGCTTAATAGGGATATACTATTTTTTTTTTATTTTTTATTTTTAAGCATACAATGTTTTTAACATCGCCTACGCTGCGCTTTGCGCTGCAATGTGGGACTTGATACACTGAAAATAAAATCTGCGTAAATATAACGAAAACTTGCGTAAATCTTACGAAATTTTTCGTCATTTTGAGCCACGAAAGTTTTCGTTGACTGTACAAGACCGTTTTCGTACATACTACGAAAATATGAGGCATCAGATTTTTAGTACATTTTAAGAATTTATTCGTACTATTTACTAAAGAATTTAGTACTATTTACTAAAGAATTTCGTACTATTTACTAACGAATTTCGAACTATTTACTAAAAAAATTCGTACTGTTTCTTCATTTTTTTACGAAATTTTTGTAAAATCCACAGAAATAATTCGTATATTTAACGAAATTACTTTCGTAAAATCTACGCTTGTTTCGTAGAATGTGCGATTGCTTTCATTCTCCACACTGTAAAAAACATATTACGAATTATAACACAACACCTTTATTTTGTTTTTGTCGCTAATTTTAAGCGTTTTTGTTTAACAAAAAATTAAAATATAATGAAAGTGTTGTGCTATAATTTTAGTCATGTTTTTTATAGTGTTAATAATAAAAGCAATCATACGTTCTACGAAAGAAGAAGAATTTTCTGACTACACTGTAGTTTAGAATTAATAAAAAAAAATTATTTTACCTATAATAAAACTTAAGTATTTTATTTATATGCATACGAATAGGTTCTATACTACATATTTTTTTTGCTTAGGCTTCATTCAATAAAGAATTCTGATGCAAAGTGTTAAACTATGAGACTCAACAAAACTAAATATAATAAGATATAAAATATGAAAGAATATAAAAAAATACTGGTTTTACTTTCTTAAACATTATGATATTTTTATGTAGAGGCACTTGACAGATTCGCAGCTTCATCGATGTTTGTTTCCTTGACGACTATAAATTAAAGGAAAATTATAAGGCGTCTGAAAAGCAAGTTTCAGTGAAAAGTCATACATGTACTTACTTTTAATTACATTAAGTAGTGCTCCTGGCTTAGGCTTGCCGTTGATTGGTAACTGATGAAATTGATGATGTGAAAGCAATCGCACATTCTACGATATAAGCGCAGATTTTACGAAAGTAATTTCGTTAAATATACGAACTATTTCTGTGCATTTTACCAAAATTTCGTAAAAAAACTAAGAAATAGCACGAAATTCTGTAGTAAATAGTACTAAATTCTTTAGTAAACAGTACTAAATTCCTTAGTACATAGTACGAATATATTCGAAAAATGTACTAAAGCTAAAACGGTTTTGTACAATCAACGAGAACTTTCGTGGCTCAAAATGACAAAAAATTTCGTAAGATTTACGCAAGTTTTCGTTATATTTACGCCGATTTTATTTTCAGTGTAGTCAATGTTTTCATGGTAGAGAAAGGTAATGCATTCCCCATTTGCCTATTGGGTAATTGCTAGTCTCAAATTTAGTGACTTGATATAAGATTGACTTACTGAATACCGGTTGTTGACATTTTTTAAACACACAAACAATACCCAACTCACAAATTTAAACGCTCACGATAAAAAGAAATTCGGCGAATACCCGTAAACAAATTGAGCTCGCACTTGTTTTTGTTGCCAAACAAATGGTTGGGTTGAAAAATGTATAAGCTCAGAAAACTTAACCCAAAAGTTAACATAAACAAATTTCAAATTTGTTTTTTGAATTCAAAACATTTCGCTAACTAAAGGTGAAAAGGTGCCACTTTTTTCCAAAGTTTATGCAGGTACATTTACATATTTTACACTTTTAACATAAATGTCAAGGCAGATATTTTAAGATACACTTCTTAACGAACAAATTTTTTTAAGTAATTATGAATGGATAAAAGTGACATCTTCTTTGAATTCAGTACTAAAACTTGACATTTCAAGTGCTTATCAAAACTTTATACATGTTAACTAGATTGGCCAT